TACCAACCGAATGAAAATAACGCACTAACTCGCAAAATTAAAATGTCTATAAATAGTTCAAAAATGGTAATAAAATTGCGTCATGTCTAAAAAACGCAAATATAAATTTTCTGTCTTAATTTCAAGTCTCTATGAATGTTTTTAACTGAATTACAACGAATAAAGCATTATTTTCGTAAATTTCCCGTTTTTATTCTTACGTTTTATTTTGGTTTCATAGTAACCGTATGGTTACATTATGGAACATGGTATCATAGTAGCCGATGTTTTATAAGATCAATAAAAAAAAAAAAAAAAAAAAAAATTAAATGATTTTCGCTGTTTTGTAATCAATATTCTGTGTTTGATGTTTTGTTTTCGCTATTTTGGAGGTGAACCGTTTTAAAATATTGGCATATTGTATAACGCGCGTTTATAGGAAGATAAACTTAGGATAAAAAAAAAAGACTGATAACGCTGATGAGCCTGCCATTGTTTTAGGAGGCAAGTTGGAAATGAGGATATATTATATAGATTACATGTAATTCATTTTATATTTGTATGCAACGGAAAACCATTGCTAACGAAAAACGATTCGGAGTGGATTATTATCAATCGGATTTTCTCCATTGTTGCTGCCGTGACCCGGAAATCAACAAAAGATATATTAAAAATAATCAGTTTTTTTATTTTTTATAAAGAAAATTAAAAAATTATCACCACATCAATTATAGATCAAAAATGCTAAAAAAAAATTCCTATAAAATTTTTGATTGCTGTAGTAAGATTTCTAGTAGAAACGTTAATAAACAAATGTAAAAAAAAAAACACCCACATAGTAAAACGATTTATATTCTTCACTCCGCTCTGATTCTAAAAGACTGTATATAATTTAGTGAGTCGTTTATAATTCAATATACTCAATATTTAAGTTTCAATACAATTTTTGATTGTTATTATTATTATTATGTTCGATCATTTTAATGTGACCGGAAATATTTTGCGTAAGTAATATTTTTAGAAACACCTACATAGATAAAATGTGACAAACGTCATTAATAATTTAAAAATAAATGAAAAAGCAGCGTTTTAATAAATAAATATATTTTCACGTATATATTTTGTTTTTACGACGCCAAAGAATAATATTCATAAAATCAACTCTGCGTTTTAATTTGTTTTTAAAGAAAGGAATAAATATTAAAATAAAAACATAGAAATGTCGAACGAACAATAATAATAATGGATTTTTGTTGTTATTATTAATATTACTGTACGGAGTAAAATGGCGGAAGCCGAGAGTTTATTTTGCAAAAAGGGTCCGGATAAATGAATTGATAATGGACGCAGAGAGAGGACGGAACCTAACCTATACTCTACCTACATAATACAAATGTTGTCGACGTTTCGTTCGTTTGTAGTTCGCTCGTTTTGTGGTCAAATAAAATCGCTCGAATGATAACAACATAAATAATATGAGATGTAGTCACGACGGATCCAGGACGATCTGACGAGGGAATGGGTGATTTTTAAAATGTATTAATGCACACGTTTACGCTGGGCTCAATGACGAACAAACCTAAACGTAATTAAGGGTTACCGGCATATTGGATAGTGGAAGGATGATCGTCCCCATCGTCCTTCTCCTGGATTCGTCACTGTGTAAAGCTAAAATTAATAATGTTATTCGGTATTACTATTAAACACCAACGACTGAAAATATAAAATTTAACTGTGTTAATAGCAACTGCGCGTCGTTGGAAAATTATTATCCGTACATCATTTTGTACAGCAATTGCATATGGACAATACTTATAAAATTTCGGAAAATGTGGTTTAGATTCTGAGCGGATTTTGAGATTGAATTTTCTGAGGACTATAACATTGGCTATAACAAAACCTAATAAATAAATATATTATTTTTTGTACGCGTCTGAAATATGTTGCCCCAGGGCGGAAAATGTTAAAAAACATTTGGATCTGGGAATTTTACCAATTGGATTGGATATGTAATTATTCATTTTTCGAACAGAAAAATTTGCCAAATCCATCGTCCTTGCTGACTGGCACATAATATATAGTATTATACCTTTGTATAGTTTTTACGTAGGTAGTTTTTAAATGTGTAATTTTAGAATTGACAACGTCATTGACGTCGTTGTTAAGATCTTGTTCGTGGGTGTCGTAAATATACTGAGAAACACAATATTATAGATGTATTGAACACATATATTTGTCGATTTACTCCGCGAACGAAATTATGCAATAAATAAATAAAAGCAGATACTGCTGATGATGTGTGCCATTGTAGTAGTCGAAAAGTTGATATGGTAGAAAGACAAAACACGATTCTGGGCGGAGTTCAGTTAAATATTTTTTTAAATGCCGATTTTCGTCAAAATTTAATCTCAAAACGCTTATAAAAAAAAAAAACAAACTAATATACGAATTCGTTTGGCCAAAAAAAAAAAAAACAATATAAATCTAATTTCATTAAAATTATACATGTATTTATCGGATTTAAATGGTTGTTGCACCTAAATGTAGATATTTTTTTCGTACACAAAAATCAATGAAAAAGTGCATTTTCGGAAATAGTGGATTTTTCTGGTTGTTGCGCCAAGCCCTTCAATTTAATTCTGCAGTAAGTTTTGTAATAACCAATGATAGTACATGATCTCCATTAGCTGTGATTTGCGTATACTGTATAGGTACCTACTCCTCTTGTCTCATGGTATTGTTTTAGAACCGTTAAAATCGAGATAGTGTTTATGTTATTGATGGCATTTTTTATTTTATTTTAGGGGCTTTTGGGCTGCAGTAGAGAGAAACCATTTGGATATGCCCGGCTTTATAACGATGCAAATGTATGTGAATTAAAACATGATTCAGATTGATGGTGAGATAATATATTAAATTATGCTATTATAATAATATAATATACAACGCCTTTTAGTAATGATATTATAGCCGTCAGTACGGCGACGTTGAAATTTAATCAAACTGTAAATAAAAGAATAGCCCATTTCGGGCCTGCCAGAGTATTAATTTTCTCTCGCTATAGACAACACTATACACCGTTGTCCTGTCATTTTCGAGGCGCGGGATGATGTACCGGGTGTGTGGCGCGGAGGAGTTGTGGGGCGTTGCGACTTTTGGACGATGTTGAACTGAAATACCATTGTTAATAGGTGGGTCGTTCAACCGATCGTAATATCAATAATATTTTAACGTCAGTCCGTTTAATAACGCGCTCTCGCGGTCTGTCATTTTCGACAAAATGTATTATTGTAACTTGCCGCGTAAACAAATGGAAAATTATAAAATAAAAACGACCGTCGAACGAAATCGCCCGGGCATTCCGAGCAGCGTCCATAGGTGCGACACTGTGTTGTATTATTATGTTGCACGTACGGACTGATCCGGCCGTCGAGAAAACCGATCAGTTTCGCGAGAATTTGCGATTTTATCATCGACGTTCGTCACCGAAAATCAATAGCCTTGATGATAAATTACTCGCTGATTATACGATATGATTTACACGGAAAAAGGGCGTTGAGCGTTAAAAAATCTGACGCGCGTTTCGGACAGGCCTCGGAGCGCGGGCGTATGTACCACGACACATAATACAAGGACGCAGTGGCTGATTGAAACAACTGATATTGAGAGTGCGGACATTATTCAATCTTTATCACCCACCCGTATTTCAACTGGCGAGCTCGGACAATGGGGGTCACGTTTATGGGGTGGGGGGGGGGTCATCGTTTATATAAGAGTATGAAAAATGTCCGTTTAAATGTTGTTAATGTTCAGTATTACGCAAATGTACATAAAACGTATAAAAACGAGGCTCATTTTAAAGTTATTGAAGTTAGGCATGGGGTCCACTGGGCTTCTTATACGACTTTGACCACTGGCACTGCAGTTAGCAAAACTACAAAGAATAATAATACTTGAGATACTAAGTATAATACGTACGTATATGTTTATCGTTGTCCTACAACAAATTATATTATAAACTGCAGTAACAATACTGGTACATTGTGAATTATAAATGTACCAAATTCTTATAATATCATAACCCCTCTCCCTTCCAATATTCATTGGAAGTACAGTGCATCATTTTCAAGGGCTTTCAAGCCGCAAGGTCGTTTTAAGTTCCACGTGAATTTTTACTAAATCGGGTCTACGTATTACCATATTATTTTAAATTCTCCTTTTACCGTGACCAGTAAATATGATATGCACAAACATTCATCTGACACATATTTGAGAGGGGGAATAGGCGATGGAAGTAATTACCTTTAAGTTTGTGTTATAGGTTATAATTACTGTAGAGAGGGGGGACGAATATCAAATCAACGGGGGTAATAATGAGGTTTAAACACTCCCATAACCTATATACCTAATTTCGCTAAAATTCAGGGCGTGTAGAACGGCTTTTACTTACCTAAATAATTCAAGTAACTAATCAATAGGACAAAAATCCAGAAGAACCGTATTCAGTAATAAATATTAATAAAAAAATGGTCATAATCGGGAAAAAACGGTAAAATGCACGGAATTTATAATTTTCAAATCGTAAATATTACGGCCTTTCAAAACACGTACAACCGAACTCCGTTCAGAATTGTTTTTCGTCGGAAATGGTTAATCGTCGCGTACAGATATACATTAAGTAATTTCTCATCTACCTTCCCAAATCCTCTGCACCTAAAACAGTGGCCCACCCGTTGTGCGAAATATGTCCGTATCTTTTTTATTATTATTTAGTGTATAGCGTTTCATGCAATTTTTTTATCCGTTCCGAATGACCGTCCAGTTTTCCAAGAAGAGCAACAAAAATAAAAATACAATACAAACATTGTATGTATTACGGCAACGGATAAAAATATCAAAAGTGTTGGACTCGAGAGACGTTTAAAACGCGGGCCGAAATATGTCAATCTTGGTGGCGCGCATAAAAAAAAAATAATAATAATCTATATTGTAAAAAAAAAAAATTAAAAAAAAAAAGAACGTTATTCGGGCGGCGGGCGGCCTACTTGGAAACGTTGCCACTCCTGCAGGTACGCCTGGAGCTTGTCCGTCTCGAACCACATGACGGCCGGCACGATCAGCGACGGCGCTAAGAACGCTGCACCGGCGAACGACAAGAGCGCGCGATTGAAGTCGGTGACGGGGACCGGCGGCGGCCGCAGGAACAGCGCCTTGGCTGCCGTCACGGTGCCGTAGCCGAACGCCACGCCCGAGCACAGCGTGTACGCCGCCGACGCGGACGCGATTTTCTTCCGGAAAACGCCTGCAAACAGAGCAATAATTTTGTATTTTTTTCTTTTTTAAATTCTGAGCATAGCGACGAAACGCGTCGGTTTCACTGCAATTTGTGCTTTATTTCGCGTTTTCTAACGGAAATATTTCTCCAATCGAAAACGCCATAGAGACTTTCTTGTAGAATTCGTAATCTAGTTTACGCGCTGAAGGTTATTATGATTTTTCTTGCATTTTTTTTTTTTTTTTTTTTTATATTAAACTGAAAAAACTGGCGATTTTCCGTATAATTTTTGTTGATCTTGACAAGGTCACATATTGGCGACAAGGAAAACATACGTACGGCTTATTGTTTTACGCTCTACTCAGAATCGTGCTGTTCGTTTTTAATGGTTTATCGCCGCATACGGCTCATATAAATGAAATTACTATTTAGATGTCCCCCCCCCTTTCAACCTCCTGCCCAAAACAGTGGCACACCCATCAGAAGTGTTAGCCTTTTTTACTTGTGAATTACTATAATTACACGTCTCGTATAATTTATTCTCGAATAACACGCATTTCCTATAAACGTGTTATACACGCTGCCGGCGATACGTTTTTCATACTCTAACGCTAAATATTTCGGACGGATGCAGGGGTGCCGTTTATATAAGGGAATGCAAACGTTTTACAAGGTCGATTTCTCCATACTCCTCCTCCCATCAAGCGCTAGACTTATATAAGTCATAATACGCGTTCTTTCGTAAACTTTCTCGTTTTTCCTAAGTTTTTTATTTTTTTCCAATTATTAAGATGACTACAAGAAAAAGAAAAACGCAACCTTTTTATGCACTGACTAGGCAAAATTTTCCTTCAGAAAATATGTTAGGTACTCTTGAAATTTGGAACACGACTTTTGGTAGACAAACAAAATTGAAACATGAAATCATTTCCACCGTAGGTTTTTCCTATAGGTACGTTTTTTTTTCCAATTTAGAAAATCGCAAGAAAAATAAAAACATGACCTCCCCAATGTACAAACTATATATTCAAACTTGTTAAGGTATGAAAAATTAACTGTATTTTATTATTTCATGTTGATAGTGTACGTATGCCTATACTATATATACAGAATATATATTTTTTGTTTATGCATAAACTATAAAAAAAAATTCTGTTTGTATTTTATACGAATTTTACCACGTGGTTACGGGCGGTGTTTTTAGCTTTAAACACTCCTACAGATCCTCCAAATAAAACCCGGGGGGGAGGGGTGAAATTTTGTACATGCATGAAGTTATATACACCTAATATACTATTACCAAGGATGCGCTTTTTGCACGGGAGTTTCAAATTTAAACCCTGCCCATACCGTGTACTCGTACGGCGAAATGACACCGTTGTTTTGTAAGTAATGTAGTGTTGTATTTGTAGCACCTATAATAGTATATTAGCATTATTGTATTTAGAGATGGGCGATACAAAACATTTAGAATTCGGTACTCGACACCCTACAGTTAATACTGTATATTGATAAAGGGCCGTGATAAAAACACAATACAAATATTAATATTATTTTTTAAATTATTATTACGAAACATTGTTTAGAATTCAAAGGTAAAAACTTAAAACACGTTATAAAATAAACAATCACTTATCATTATAACATAGTCAATTACCGGAATCAAAATCAAAAATTACTTAGATTACGATATTCGATGTTGTCTCAATTATCCCTAATTGTAGTATTACCATAGTCCTCGATTGCAGTGACGGCGTGAAGTATTCTCATCTCGAATCACCGATTTAATTAATTTTCTACTCGACCTTACCGAAATTCCGCAGTCTAAAATCTGTTTAACGACTTTTGTTTTGTGAAAACGAAATCGTATTTCTGAACACCCAGGCACCCACGATCCACACACGCGTATTTTTTTTTTTTTGTAAATCACATGATTCAAATATTCGCGCCGTCACTGTTCGGTTGTGTACCTGTTAGTTTTTCGTAATAATATTTTTATAATACGAAATTTACGGCGTGGAAAACTCGGCACTGGGAGCTCTGCTGCTCACGGGTGTTTTATGTATATATATATACATACACATGTATAATGGCTATAGATTTACAATGGCGAAACCCCGGCGGCTCTGCAGAAGACCTAAATCCGGTATTGTAATGGAAAACGATCGATTTCGTGGAGCCAAAAGTATGTCGGCGTTCGCGCCGGACGCTGTGACGGGAACACAATTGCGAAGGGCACGTGTGCGCAATATAAGAGACCGGGGGAAATGCGTATCTGCAGCACTACAGGCCATTTTTTTTATCGTGTTTATTTACTGCGCGTCTACATAACGCTCCCTGAAAATTAGAAAAAAAAAAAAAGAAAACCTCAAACAGCAAATACTTTTCTGTGATACCTAATTAATGTAATGGTGACAATGCACAATATTCTACATAAATATTATAATAAAACAATTGCAGTATTCGGCGTTCTTGACCTCGGTCAAATTTTGTCGTGAAATTCTAACGGATACGCAGATCGTTGGACACAGAGATCCTCCATAAAAAAAAAAAAAAAAAAAACAACCGGCCTGGTATACGATACGTAATATTATATTATACCGTGCCGATAATCGAAGAAGAGAATTCCGAAGAGCTCTCGAATAATGTGAAATATATTCGGCGGTCAAATGGCTGACACTGCTATATTGACCGACCACTCCTGACAAAAAGGACCAATTTCGAAACGGACACTATATACAGACGAATCTATTATACATTATGCACGGTATTTTATCCGTATATATGTAAATAATGTAAATAAATGGTAAAACTGCAATATTCGCAGGAGCAGCAAAAGCGCAATAACGATAGTCATAAATTGTGTAAATATTTATGTACACCATACAGTGTTACATCATATTCGGTGTGTGTTTTTTTTGTACGACGCGTTTCGAAGCCTTAAGCGGATTACGGCCGAACGTCGAGAAACGAAACGAATTTATAAAAAATAAAAAAGATTAGCCGTAGAAGAAAAATCTTTATTTGTTGAAAATATGCTTTATACAGTGGTGCGGTGACAGTTCAGACTGTCGACGGTTCCAAAAACGGCTTAAATCGGCTTCAGTATAACGAATTACTGAGTTGTCGTCATTGTATAAAATATTTTAAAACAAATACCTACGTGTAATGCTGCAGGTATATAAATATTCCCCCGAATAAATATTTTAATATAAAACGGACAATTTTTTTTTTTTTTTTTACTACACCTATACTTACACATCATTCACAGAACAAAACGATAATCAGTAATCTTATTCAAATACCAATGATTAATATTATAGATAACAGATAGGATATATTATGGGCTTATGGAATACACAAACTAAAAAAAAAAAATTGCCCGGGGGAAACGATTTGTTCACGACAGCACCGGGTTTTGGTATCTACCTGCGGGTGGTAAAACCTAACCGCCAGCCCATATATACTTCGCATATTTCACGCCGCGCGTAGGCCACTGTTGTGGGTGAGAATTTGAGACAGGTATTAATTGAAATACTCCCAGAAAAGATGACTAGTTAATACTCACATACAACATGTAAACGGCGTAAAAAAATATACTTTGGCCATTGTGGTGGGGTAAACAATTCAGAAAATGTATAAATTAAGGTTCTCAGAGAACTAAAATTCGTGGGATAGGTGTACATCAAATGATAATTTACTTAAAGCATAAAGTGCATGATAGGTGGGACATTGTAGTAGGCATTAATCCAGGATTTATTTTTTACAGTTTTAACTTGACCTGTTAACACAATATTATCTATATTCCATACACAAAACTGAACTTTGATAATATAAAAACCGGCATTTAGACATTTTATAACTCATTCCCCAATCTCCCATTATCTCTTATTTATTAATTAAAAAAATCAATATTTGCGTGAGCTTAAAAATAATATTAACCACTAAACCCCCCGTACAAGAAGTAAATATACTACGATCGCAGTTTAAAATAACACAATGTGAGACAGATTATTAGACAATATGGTATTTGATAGTAATAAAACGATTTTCAGTTTCCGCATACCTAGGCAGGTATATAAAATAATTACTGAGGGAGTAAAAACACGTGGAAAAATTTCGTTTTTCTTAATCGAAAATGTTTTATTTATGTTACATAATTTCCACGTTTTTGAAATCATATTTACTCTCTGCCCGCGTGTGCTCACAAACTTTTTCAGAATAAATATAGAAAGAATCACTCACGCAATTCGTGTTATAGCTAATATTATGTATTAATAATTTATATTCGATTATATTAACAGTATCAATTATCAATTAGTGTCAATTGATGATGATGGCAATTTTCAAAGGGAGGATGTGTAGAAAATAATAATTACGGTTCATGAAAAAATCGTAGTGTCTTCTTTTGTTCTATCTAATTCGACGATGCGAGTTTAAAAGCCGGATACAAAAAAACAATTTGTATCCATTAAATCAAACTTTTGAATGGAACGTGTCTAAAATACATAATTACACGACGAAAAGAATAAATAAATAATCATAGTCGTTGCATTTTTAGGCGAATCGGTAGGGTTGGGGGACAACCCTAAACGTTCCTATCCTACTCATTAGCCGAATTTAACGTAGGTATAATACAAATATTTTGGTAGGTATATAAAGAGCAGAGAAACCGTGCGATTTTTTCACGCGTGTAATTATTATTATTTTGAGGTCAAAATTGCGTATAATGTTAACATAAGATTACATAATTCATTAGTGCCATACTGGATTGTGTTCTATTGTACGTGTAAACTAAAAAAAAAAACAAATACAATTTGAGAAAATTTATATAGTTATTTAATTTATATCTGTATGCAACGAAAATTCATTACTGAAAAAACGATTCTGAGCATTGTTCGGTTAGAGATGCTTTGAAAAGCTGAAAGTTGAATGTTGTTTTAATTTATAATTAAAAAATAAAATATTAAAATTGTTCGTGTTGTTTTGTGTCAACATTTTTAAGTATTTCTATGGAGGTAAAAGTTCATATTTATATAAATCGGAAAACACCACGGAAAATGCTATGATTTGATTTCGTAAAAATTTAAACGCTGTATAAAAATTTAAAAATCGTGACTTTGTATTTTCGATTTTTTTTATAGTGCTATAAGAATAACCAATGATGAATCTTGAATCAAGTTTTCAATAATTTTTAGAAAACAAAATAATTTTCGTTTTGAGTGGATCACATATAAAAGTAACATCTTCAATGTACCGGGTATAATTTGCTACCAGAAATCATCTTTGAAATTGATGATTGAAGATGATAAGAAGATATCTAGTGGAAATTTTTTCTATAAATACGTCCACATAAAAGCACACATTATAATATGATGTGTTCTTATCATTCCTCTTAATGCTAAATTAGAAAGATTTTACATTTTCTAGTAAATAATTTACAATCGTTCAATTTGTCTCGAAATTGAAAGCAAATTGGATATGAAAGGTTAGTTTTCTAGAAAATCAGCCAGAGAGAAAGGAATACTGGAAGAGATAGAAGAGTGATTAAAACAGGAAGAAAATCCGAAAGAAATTTGGGATGAGAGACTAGGAGAATCCATTTGACCTGTTATTGGATAGGAAAGAGAGATTGTGCGACCATATGCGGTGGGCGAGACTAGATAGATAATTGTCTACTAATATTATGGTTTTTCTAGGACTGGATTATTATAAGCTCTAGTGTAGCCCTAGAGCAAGACACATGTTTATGAATAACTCATTATGAGGTTATCTATAAGTGACATATCATAAAATGTTCACAGCAAACGCCTGAAACTTGAGTTGTAAAATGATATCATGAGTAATTCGAATTCATTATGACGCGAAATTATACTACAAATTTCAAACATTTTTATATATGCTTGATTTTGACATGGCTTCTGTACACGTATTGTATTACATGCGAGAAATAAAATAGTCTCTGCTAGTGTTAAACACTAGGCACGCGTGCCTAACTCTCTTACACGACAATCCGTAAACATTTTTGTGTGATATTACACTATAATATAATGTGTACCGTTTAAACCTCTTGTGTACGGACAGAAGCCCAGAATGCGAAACGCCGAGAAAAACGGACTGCACAGATGATCGAAAAACGAACGTGACGGCGGCGATGGCATTTTCATCTATTTCCCGGCCGAAACGCGACAATCCCGTACGAACGTTAAAACAATAATACACACGTACTATAATAATAATGCTACGAATGCTATGTGATATTTGTGATACGGGTGTGTCGGGACGGCACTACAAAACGATTTTATATTTTAGCGCCAATGATTATTTTTTTTTTTAATTTCATGTTCTTTTTGATAATCGTGATTTGTTCACGAGACGAAAAACTATAATATAGATACTAATTCGTTTCGGGACTGATAACGTATTATTAGATAAAACTCTAATATAAATTGGTATGTTTTATTAATGAGCACACACCTGCGTGTGTAGGATTACGAATTTATTGGTTTGTCCTGTGTATTATTTTAATACAATGCAAATATCGCGTGCGATAGCGAGATAATCACTCGGAAGAGTATTTTAATAAAATATACACAATCGGTATACTTACAATGAGATACTATCTGTACGAGTTTCATAAAAAAAAAAAAAAAAAAAAAAAAAAAAAAAAAAAAAACAATAATAAAATATTTCTTGTGTTTATTTCGGATAACGAAATACCCTTTATTATTTGTTCCGTTAGATTAGAGAAAAAAAAATAGGTTTTTCTT